TTGATAAATGATAAATGGTGGGTAGCACAGTATTGGAAAAATCGACCAACCAAGATCAACTAAACGTCCACGTCAACAACAAGGGTAAATTTGGAATAGTTGAAATTTTAATTTGGTCCCTCTACTTTTATAAAAAGTTATTTTTAGTCTATTTACTCAAAAAATCTATCTTTGATCCTTAAAATTTGAAATCCAATCTCTCTTTAATTCTTCCATTCAGTTTTTATTCTATAATATATTATTTTAACATGAAATTCCAAAATATAAGAACTAAAAAATGGTTTTTTTTTTTTTAAGTAAAGAAATCAAAATGGATTTTTTCTAGAGTAGATTGACCAAGAAAGGGTTAAAAATTTATATCATTTAACATATTACATGTATAAACTTAACAAATCACTAAAAAAGATTGAATTTCAAATTTTAAAGAATAAAAAAGGAGTTTTTAAATAGAAGGACTAAAAAAAGCTATTTTTAAAATGGAGGGACAAAAAATGAGATTTTAACCAATTGAATTGAAAATGGCAATTTTGGATTAAGTAGTAAAAACCAAAAGAAGAGAGGAAAAAGTGGAGAGAGAGAGTCTTCCCATTGAAGACCACAAAATAAAAAATAAAAAATAAAAACACGGCCTTCCCTTTTCTTTCTCACCTTCGCCTCTTCCCCGGGAAATAAAAAGTACACGAAAGAAAAGGAAAGGAAACAGGGGAGGAAAAAGAAAAAGAAAAGTAAAAAAAGAAAGAAAAAGGAATTACAACAACTCCGTAAACAGAAACACGATTTTTCTTTTCTGTAGAATTTATCATCAAATCGAATCTGTGTTGATAAGGAAGGTGATCGGGGATCGGATTGTGGAGATGTCGTGTTCTTCGTCGTCGGGGTCGGGGTCGGAGGAGGACGATGAGGGAATCGACTCTTACAGGAAAGGTGGCTATCACGCTGTGAGAGTCGGCGATCCGTTCAACGGTGGTCGGTATATCGCTCAGAGGAAGCTCGGATGGGGTCAGTTCTCCACCGTCTGGCTCGCCTACGACACTCGAACCTCTGTAAGTCCATTTCCATTGAAATTCTGTATCGAAGTTTTTCTATATCTCTGTTTCAGATCCTGTTTGAGTCGAATTTGTATTCTCTGTTTAGTTGAGATCTTACCTTTTTCGTGCCAAAAAGGCTTCGTTTTGATCATTTGATGATGAAGCTGCTTGAATGATTTGGGATTAATTGATTCTTTATTACCTGTTATGTATCCTTTTTTTGTGGGATAAATTCATCTTAGATTCTTAGCTATTTGGTGTTTTTCTTTTTTAAGGAAGATAGATTTTTTTTTTTCCCTTTATATGCTGTTTTGGCATTTTTCAGGCCAAAAAAAAAAAAAATGCTTCTGTCTGTTTTATTCATAGAACTCGGACCATACTCTCCAGGTGTACTCGTTTTGAAAATGTTTAAGAAAATTTTTTGGCTTTTCTTTATAAGTTAAACAATAATCATGGTGTTTAAATCGAAACTGGAATGGAAATGCAAGCATTTACATTCTATTTCTTGTATGATACAAATGCAACATAGTATTAATAACACTAATATGCAAAATTAATCTTAAACAACATGCTAATGTTGTTCCACATGTCAGTGTGTGTGTTTTGTATTTATATACTTCATTATAAGCGAATATTAGATCTTAACTAAGAATGAAAGTATGTTTTTTTCTTCTTCTCTTTTGTTTTTTGGGTTATAGAGCATGTTTCTTCTATTGATTTCTTCATAAATGGTATGTATTTGTTTTTTTTTTTTGGAGATTTTGAGTTAACTATTTTTAATCTGGTTGAAATATGGAGCTGGCCAAAGTTGTGCCTTTTATATTTTCTTCATCAGACCTATGCACAAGTTTTGAACGGTTATTCATTCTGTGGCCGTGTGAGAGACCTTTCACCATTCACAATACAATTTGATAGCCGAACGGACCTAATAGAAAAGTTTTAATAGAAAATAGAATAGAAGAACAAATGAATGCATTTTGTCTTTTTCTGAATAAATGTGGAGTAGCTTAATTTTATCATCTGAATCCTTTTTTCTTTTCTTTGTTTGCAGAAATATGTTGCTCTTAAGATCCAGAAAAGTGCACAGCAATTTGCTCAAGCTGCTCTTCATGAGATTGAAATCCTTTCAGCTATTGCTGAGGGTGATCCCTCGAATTCCAAGTGTGTTGTGCAACTGGTTGACCATTTTAAGCATATCGGTCCAAATGGGCAGCATTGGTGCATGGTCCTTGAATTTCTTGGTGATAGCTTACTTCGATTGATCAGGTTTAATCGTTACAAAGGACTTCAACTGAATAAAGTTAGGGAGATCTGCAAATGCATTTTGATAGGTCTCGATTACTTGCATAGAGAACGTGGTATAATCCATTCTGACCTAAAGCCTGAAAATATTCTTCTCTTTTCTACCATTGATCCTGCCAAGGATCCATTTAGATCTGGTCTTACCCCAATTCTTGAAAGACCTGAAGGGGGAAGCCTAAATGGTGGATCTACCACGAATATGATTGAGAAGAAGTTAAAAAGGAGGGCAAAGAGGGCAGTTGCTAATATATCTGGGAGAAGAGCTTCTCTGGGAGGAGAGGCTCTAAAGTCTCAGAGATCTCTAGATGGGGTTGATGTCAGGTGCAAGGTTGTGGATTTTGGAAATGCATGTAGGCCTCATAAACAATTTGCAGAAGAAATTCAAACAAGGCAGTATAGAGCTCCTGAAATTATACTTCAGGCTGGGTATTCCTTTTCCGTGGACATGTGGTCTTTTGCTTGTATAGCCTTTGAACTTGCTACTGGTGACATGATGTTTACGCCTAAGGCCGCACAAGGCTATAGTGAGGATGAGGTAGGATGGTTTTGCTCACCAAGCTTTGGGATAGCTATTAGATCCCATGCATACTGGTTTAAATCATTACCACTGCATGCTATATTTTAGAAGATAGAAATGGAAGTAGAGACCATAGAGTATAGAAGCTAATGATGAAAATATTATACTGTGCACCGTGCTTAGATTCTTATATGAATCTCAAAGGTGAATCTGGACTTTCGTTTATCATTTATTGTCTTTGCTGCTAGATTTCATAGAAAATATAAAGATAATGGTTGGCAGAGAAAGACATGTGCCATATTGACCCTTTTATGATTTTAGCCAGCAAATCAAGTTAGTTAAATAGTCAAAATATACCGTAGGTTTCAGGATAGATACTTTTCATTGCTGGCATCATTGTATTAAATGTGACACAGAAGACTGATTGTGAAGTTTCTCGTTTAATTTATAGCCACCTAATGACTACTACCTTGGAATCATCCAAAAGCAATATCTTCATTGGCATTCTTAATTATCATCTTTGATTTGCATTTATTATGATTGTGCCAACCAGTAAATGCATGTCCATGTTTATGACATGCATCTACCTACTACAGATACGTTGTTAATAAAAGAGATGAACTACAGTGAGTAATGGGAATAACCAGTTTTCACTTTGTTGCTTTCAGGATCACCTTGCTCTCATGATGGAACTCCTTGGGAAGATGTCTCGAAAGGTAAAATAAATGTCTGCATTACTGCTTTCTCAAGTTTATACTTTTGCTTGTATACCCATTTCTTTCTCATCTATGTGAGTAGATTGCCATTGGAGGAGCTCAATCCAAGGATTACTTTGACAGGCATGGGGATCTAAAGAGAATTCGGAGGCTGAAGCATTGGCCACTTGATCGGTTGCTGGTGGATAAATACAAATTCTCCGAGGCGGATGCCCGTGAATTTGCAGAGTTTTTATGTCCACTTCTTGATTTTGCACCAGAGAAGCGGCCAACTGCTCAACAGTGTCTGCAACATCCGTGGCTCAATCTCAGGACTTCAACTAAGAATGAGACAGAGAATCACTCTAATGTGGAAAACTTGAATGTTGGGATGAGCAGCCTCCGGATTAAGGTGGGAAAGTAAAGAAGGTATCAAAGATGTCACCACAAGTATTAATTTTGATTTTATTTTTTATTTTCCTGTGTTTGTTACATTTTTAATGAAATTTATTATTTTGATTAATGATTAACTAAATGTAAAGTACAATTAATAATTACCACAAGTAAATGATATGGACAAGATGAACATTAACTTAGATTACTAAAAACCGATGGCCATTCATAGTCCACAAGAATATTGCGTTGCGAATTCTTATAGGTCATGTTTAGTTGGGAATATTATAAAAATTCTTCCTTAAGATTGATAATTTTCTAGGATGATTAAAGAAAATATTGTATTGTTTACTCCTCATTTAAGTCCCAATTCAGTCACTGAATTAAGTCTTCATGATTGGACCATGTCACATCACAATGAATATCTTCTCATTCCTATACAAATATAGGTGGATCCACTTGCAAATCTTACATAAATTATCAAATCTTGTTTATATAAGATTTTTTTCTTCTATGACTATTTACACATATAAATAAATTTATTTTCTCTTTTACTAACATTGTTTATATAAGATTGGTTAAACCTCTAATTTTGTTTCTCAACTATCATATAAACTCTTAAATCGGTTCCTAAATTAAAAAAATTTTATTTTAGTCCTTAAAATTTTTAAATTCGATTTCAAGTTAATTTTTTTATTAAAAAATAACTGATATATCTATTACTTAATAATTATATGTCATGTTAGTAATAAGGCATGTTAACTGTTTTAAAAACGGAGGGGACAAAGTTGGAGCTAAATTAAAAATTTTTAAGAACCAAATCAAAGATTTTTTTTTTTTTCCAAGAACCAACTCAGAAGTCTGGATAATAGTCTAGACAATTGTTGAGGAACCAAATTAATAGTTTAACCTATAAGATTTACATGTGTAAATAGATTTAACTCATATATATTTAACTTTCTTCATTTAAATATTTGCTTATCCATTTACAGACATAACCGTTTAAAGAACAGACCCGAAGAAACAGCGGCGGAAGAGGGGGAAGGAATCTACCCATCACGGGATAGATAGGGAAAGCGACGCTTGAAATTGCTTGAATTATAGGAAATAAAAAATGGTGGACCCTGACACAACTTGGTTTCATCCCCATTTTGCTCTGTTTTAGAGCATTATTTGTCATCCTTACGCATTTGGGTTTGTGGTCAAGTGATAGGTGGACTGGTCCCAGCTCTAATATATCGACAAATGACTGATAACCAACGTTGGATTAACTCCCAACTAACTTTTTGCTTAAAACTCTGTTCTATGAATACAAGAAATGTAAGTTTAAAGACCATGACAACCTGTTCCAGCTAAAAGACAGAGTAGCTTAATTAAGTTTCTTGTTTGTGTTAGTTAATTGCTATGTGTAGCAAAGACTTGCATTGGTTAGGCACAACCAGACCTGGTTGTTTAAGACGAAGGCGTGAGTTAAGACTTTTAGTGCTGGAATTAATATTAAAACAACGGGTGAGTTTTGTCTGTGCCAATGCGAGAATAGGGATGGTTGAATTAAGGTATGGATCCACTGGCTAAATTACCGAATGGAGAATAGAGGGGTCTTGTCAAATGTCAAGTTGTTAACCCTCCTCCTGTACAAACTGTTCTTCAGCTGGAAATGGAATCATGCTGCATGGATACATAAACAAATCGAGAAAATGGGGATCGCTGCTCATGTTGCAAGTTTAGAATTGCATTCAGTTCATCCATTACCGGATTTATACAGATTATTGGATATATAAAGGTGTTCAACAAAACATGTCTTTGCATTTCAAACATCATCAATCTGTGACAAACAATACACACCTTTCAGAGATATCACTCTTGACAACGATTTCTCAACTAGAGAGAAAGCTGTGAGATTGACAGGGGGATGATTCATTTTCAGATGAGGAATGATGTATAAAGGTATTCAACAAAACATATCATTGCATTTCAAAAGCGATACAACATGAATTTCAAAGATAAGAGTACAAAAAAAGGAACTATACATCTATCCTCATCGCCACAGCTGGATGAACATGAACCAAAAAAGGTAAAAAGGAAGAAAATCAACGAGCAACAATCTAATTTATTGCGTACCTCTCCTATCTCAGCTTCAAATGTTGCTGTCACTTTATGCATCGACCACTGGTTGAAATGTGAAGTGCAGATGAGAGCAATTCAACATTTAGATACACATTCAGTCAATTCCACTTCATTACAAAGCCGAGGATGAGCAAAAGGATAAATGAAATAAAGCCGTTCTTTTCCTGTAAAAAGAGCTTCACAAATCCTACCTCAGCTATCAACTTCTATGCTGAAAGCCACCTGTTAGAACAGCAGCAGTGAAACATTATGACTGCATCACTTTGTTCTGTTTGATACATGCAGGAGTCTTGAACTCCTGGCATTTCCAAATTGGTGGTGCCTCAATGGAAATAGCACCATCAGCAGATGGCTCCATAGAAAACAAGGGCTTACAACCAGCAGTAGGATTGCCCACATTCTTTTCTGTCAATGGATTACTTTTAGCAACCATATCTTCCTTGGGATTCACTTGATCCCTAAAGGAACAAATGCTCAAGGGCAATTTTTTCAGCTTCACCCTTCCCCTCTTTTTACCAGGGGAACATGCATCTTCACAAGCCTTTTCCTTTGAATTACTCGATTCTGCCTCTCCATTAACCAACTCTGGTCGTCCAGTCTTTTCATATTTGGCTTCATTTTCATCTGCTTTAAGGGAAATGTCTGGAGTGGAGTCTTCAGAGTCAATCTCACCTGCCACAGCATGGCCATTGCTGGTGGATGGTAGGCTCCTTCCTAATAAGATGTCCCCGTTGCAAAGCTTTGTTTTCTCTTTAGGGAAGATCTTGGGCCTTCTATTTTTATGCCCTTTCCATTCAGAACTTGAGGGGTTCTTTGAGATTCTCGGAGAGCTGTTCATAACTTGATGCAACCTACGGGCTAAGTCTTCATCTGTCCTATGATTCTCAATGGGTTGGTGCTTTTTGTACAAGAGTTGAACCGCAACATGCTTCTTCAACTTATTCTTTTTTAGATATCTGTCCTTGTTCATGGTCTCTTCGGAGAATGATGCCACCAAGTCCAAAGCACTCTTAGCCGCAGCCACTGCTTTTGCTGCAATTGCAGCCTTCTCCTCTGCAGCAGCTCTAGCAGCCTCAGCAACCTTAGCCGCAGCAATTGCTGCTGACCTCGAGGCCTCCAAAATCTCCTCAGGAGAAAGATTCGCGCTATTTAGACAGGAACTCAACAAATTGTTAAGGTGGATGTTAGAATCACTCAAAGTAGAATAAGTAGAAGATGAAGGTGAAGGTGGGGATGGTTTAGCAACCGTAGGCTGATCCAGAACACCATTGCCATTGGAGCTTTGCTTCTTGAATCCTGCAAGCAGTCGCTTCCGGGGAGGCAGAAGGACACCAGCATCACCAGCATCTAAGTGATTGATGTCACAAATGTTAGCTTCCATTTCCAATCTTTAAAATCTTAATCAATCCCACTGGCCAGTAGTTCTCTAC